TTTGATTAAAAGATAAATTAAATTGATTTATGCCTTCATTTGCACTGTACTGTAAATTAAAACTAACTGAAATGTCTAGTGTCACATAAGCCAAGACATTTCAATAGGTTATTGAACTATGCATGCCTGTAAAAGGCTATTAGTGTTATAGTTTAATGAAAATAGTTGCAGTTATCTTTACAACTTCTACAATATAGCTATGAAGACAATTCAATTATTTACACTTTTTATATAATTTTTTAAAAGTTAATCCATTGATGTGCATTAGATGGTGAATTGAATCGTCACCTCTACTATTGTAGGTTATGTTTTAGCCATCAGAAAATAATTAATGAGGAATTATGAGAGGTTATGCTATTACACATATATGTGTTTTTTCAGGGCCGATGCCGATATCGATTATTACCGATTACCGATACCGTGTTTCACTCCGTCTCGAATCACGCAAGCGGAAAGCGCTTGAGAAACTGTCTATTCCGCGGCTCGGTAAGCTTTCAACTCGTTTTTTTTAGTCTGGAGCAAGACTGTACGACATTCACATTACATGATTTAACTGATTTTTACGTAGAAAGGGCGACAGCGCACCGCATTAAAAGAAATGATCATTCATGTTTTCATAACCGCTGGCCAAATTCAAAAACGAAACTAAAATGAAATCATCTTTGAGAGCAAGGGGGCCCCTGGTGTTTCGGGGGCCCTATGCAGCTTGCGTATAGGGAGGATCGGCTCTGGCTGCGTCATTCATTCACACAGACACAGAACATGCAGGATTCATATTTAAATGCGGCTTAATATTTACTAGTCCATATCACGATTTGATTTAAGTGTAATGACAATGGCCTTCCTTTGATTAATTCATCCAAACTTTGACAAATTCCATGACATGTTATACAGTAAATTCCATTTTTATGACTGGATTCCGCGATTCCGTCCACGTTTTTCGCATCGCGGAAATCATAGGGCCCTAGTAGGCGTACTTTGTGGGAAGGTCCAAACTCCACCTCTGAGTCGCTGTCATCGGAAGCCTGCGTGTTGCCAGATGTTGAGGGCTCTGAGGTGTGCACGAACCCATTTAGAGTGTCGTAATGAGCCGATTTCGTGGCTTTGTTTTGATGAGGCTGACTTAGGCTCGGTCCGAGCGGTTTAGTATGCTTTCCTACCTGCCTGTTAACGTATGTATTAGCATACCTCTGCGCACCCTGTTGGCGCAGACAGGATATGTCATCAACACGTTCACGCACGCTGTGCAGACAGAGCGAGGATGGCAGGCAAACATCAACAACCCGATCTTTCTTCCTGGTATTGTAGTACTTTTAAAGATTTCTCACTGGTGAATAACACATGATGTAGCTCAGCGGTTAATCTAGTCCTCGCGCCAGCTCGTTAGAAGTGAGCTACGTGCATGAACTGTGTTCCCATCGATATGATCCCTACACAGTGTTCATTGCTCCCTACTCCCTGAGCGGGGGAAATCCGTTGAAGTTTACTTCACTTCAGAACATGGGCTGGAATTGGGAACCTGATGTAGCCTACTGTAGTAATGTTGTCTCTGGTCTGTGAGTGTAAATGCGTTCAGGGGGCGTGGCTTTGGACGGCGATTGCAGGGAGGGTGGGACGTTCGCTTTCAGTGCTATCAGGCTAAAGTTAGCATTTTCCAAGATCTCCTATTGCACCTTTAACTGAAGCTTCTAGAATTTGTGCTCTGCTGCTGTGAACAGTAAACTCCGCCTACTTTGATTTGATTGGTCACCTTAATCATGTTGACGTTGATGAGTGCTGTTAGACCGAGGCAGATCAGCCTAAAAATGTAACTTTTAAACCATTTTGTCATCCTAACAACAAACAGAACGCTGTGTAATGAAGTGCAACAGAGCGGTGCAAAAATTTCAAATACTGGGACATTACTGGCCATTTCTAATGGACCCTTTTCAAATTTCCGGGTTTCTCAGAAGCGGAAGTTGTCATATTGGGTAAACTTGTACAGTGGTGAACGGAAAACTACTTAAAATATAATTTCTGCATTCCCATTTGCTCAAATAGCCTAGCAAAAGAAAAAAATCCACGGTAGTGTTTTTAAATAGAGAGAGAGAGAGATTGTTAGCTTCAGTCAGAAGAGAGAACAATGTAAAATTTACTGTCAGTCTTCACAGCAATGTTAGCTAGTTTTTTTTAATCTTTTTTTTTTTTGTAATTTGATGCTAAGCCAATAAAATACAAAGTATAGTGTTTACTGTATATGTACATACATTTTTAAAAAGTGAAAATATGCAAAAATTCTGATGACCACTGAAATGTGTTACCACAGTCTGTGAAAAGGGTCCATTATGGGGATTTTCTTCAGTCATTTGTTCCGTTTAAATCCTGCCCCTGCGAAGTCAAGTTCATCTGCCTCCATTCTTGAGTGCAATTCATAGGCTACATCTCAAAATCCAATCAACAACTGATGCAAAGAACCAAGTCCCCACCCTTCATTTTTCTTTTCCAGTAATCCATTACACTCGGAAGTACATCACAATATGGAAGAAAAGATCTTTTGATACTTAAGTTTCAGCGCAACTTTCAAGTCAACATAAAAACATCTTCCATTTCCTCCATTAATTCTCAGAAAATAACACCCAAGCCCCACCCTACATATTTTTTGCATTCTATTCCTCTCTGAAATATCACATTTTAGAAGTTAAATGGGTTTTAAATGCCATTTCATGTTGACTTAACTGTAAATCATTGGCTGCAGTGTGGGTAATTACACTCAGCTAAATTATTATGATTTAATGGCAAATTCTCACATTATGCAAATTGATAGCCAATTACACAGTGCTCCTTCAGGAGACCAGTAAACAATTAGCCATGAGACTTTTAAGTGAACATCTGAACCATACGTTGAAGATTAGCACTATAAAATATCAGATGGTGTCAGCAAATCTGAAGAAAAGACCATAAACCGTTGACATTCAGACATTTTTGGGGCCACCGTTGATATTCAATAATGACACATTTCAAACAAATTAACTGATGCGTATGTTTAGATGTGATTGAGAGCCGACACACACCATGTTTTCTGAGTTCTGTTCACTTTATTTGTGGAATAGACTTTACACCTCTGTGCTTTTGATATCTAACTCTTTAATCTCCTACCGGGAGCCGTTTCATCCAACACCCCCTGCCGAAAATGAGCAGGTGCCTGACCAATTACTAAATTTACCACTTCACACTACTTTATGAAGCTGAAGAGAGAGAGAGAGAGAGAGAGAGAGAAACAGACAGAACCAAAACGAACGTAAAAATAACTTAGGAATAATGCTTGTAAACAGAGTAACAAACATATTTTCATCACAGTCAAGTGCAAATTTGCATTCCTCCTTTTTTGTACTAATTTCCACATATAATTGTATCTTTCACTTCTGTTCTGTAGTAAAAAATAATTACACTATTATTGCCTGTCTCATTGCTGCTTATGATTTTTAAATAAATATTAACAGATGAGCTTTAAAAACAAATTAGAGAAATGCTTCACTGGACCGTTACATAGCCGTGTTCGATGCATAAGCTATTGTATAAAATAGCTAGCTAGGTTTTAAAGGTTACACTTAATTACCAATCCAAATGAAAAATAAGTTGAAGTGACTCTAATTACTGCAGTAAAACTCGATGACAGTGGTAAACGCCCTCCATTCGCTTTAAAATGCTATAGAAACCTTTCATTTTCCCATGGGAGAAAACACATAAAAATACCTACAACGGTATCCACGCATATCTGTGATCAAATAACACAAGTCCTTCCCAGTCGCCCATCACACATACTCACACTCATTGCCGACCTCAGATTTTTGCAAAGAACATGCCTGAATGTTTTTTTGAATGTTTATCGTTCTTTTTTTCTAATGTGCACATCTGGTGCAACATGTTTGATCATTAATACTCTGTAAATATCATCTTTTTTCATCAATGTCAAGAAAGAAAACAGGACAAACGAAAAGGAGGTAAAAGAAGTACCATGCAAAAGTATGTGAGAGTAGCATGTTGGCGGCTCCATTCTCTGCCATGGTATCTACTATACAACAACATGCATGTTTGGGTCAGAAATCTCCTCATCTTTTTTTGTGGGGTTTTGAAGATGCATGTGATCTAAAGAGGTATGATACAAATATTGATACATATACACCACCTCCTTCATCTCGGCCGTTCTATTTTTCCCTGCAAAGATCTACGGGTTCGATATATCGATGTACTTTACGATAATTTACGCCTTTTGTAATCTCTCCTGCAACTGTATTACGCAGTGGACGTATAGGCATAATTCCTGCTTGTTGAAACATTGCATATCTTTAAAAGTAAAAGGCCTTCTGTGCCACTACAACTGCTGATTTATCGTAAAATGCGATTGAGTTCATCTTTTCAATCTCCCCCAAACGTGTACCGTCAGTCTTGCGTGAATTGTCCGGGGTCACAAAAAGCACGTCAGCTCATGCAAGTCCACATCGAATTGTCGATTTTGGAATGAAGCAGATTTGTTACGAGATGCACTTTGTCTTTTCTGTGGCGTTTGCGATCTTTCCTAGGAGAAGCCCGCATCACTTCCTTTCCTTTGTGCAGTAGGGGATGCTTGTGTGCTTGTGGCGGTTATAAGGAGGAGATCTTCACTGTCTCATGGGTGAAGAAAGTAGAGCGAGAGTTGCGTAAGATTCCGGGAATGGCAGGAGAGGGCGGCAGACTCTCGTCAGGGGTGTTGGCGGGTGGGGTGGGTATACTGATTATAGCCGCTGTGAAATCCCGATCCTCACAGTTTAGCTTCAGGTCTTCTGTCCGGGCGTTGAGACTGGAGCGGCTGTTTGGATGCACATACACACACACACACACATTCACAAGAAAAAGTTAGAGGTTAGATGAGATATCATCTTAATTGTTACAGAAGTTATTGCTCAACCACAATTTTTGTTGTAGTCATGTACATAAAAATAGCAGAGGCGGACAGTAACTAAGTACATTTACTTGAGTATTGTACTTAAGTACACTTTTTTACTTGAGTATTATTTTTTTCTGGGAACTTATGACTTTAACTTCACTACATTTGAAAGACAAATATTGTACTTTTCACTCCACTACATTTCTATCAAGGTCCTCGAAGTAGAAAGTCGGTGTTGGACTTGAAGCAGCACTGTACAGACTGTTCTGTGTGTGACATCAAAGTACCGTGACAGCGATTAGACAGCATTTTTAAAATTTTTGTTTTGATGTCAAATAGATCTTGCTGTTTTGCTTTTTTGTTAAAGCAGTGTTGCTGTTGTAAAGTTGTACAGCTACAGTTGTGTTGCTGGGTTTTAAAGCAGGTTTGATTTTTTTTTCTTCCTTATCAGTCTGTATTTACATGATTTCACTGTACTGTATTCAGTAGTTATAATGTATTCTAAGTTGCTTCAGAAGTATTGCAAGTACTACGTACAACAATAAAACAGTGCATTGACATAAAAAAGGAAATTTACTTTTGGTACTTAAGTACTTTTAAAAGCAAGTACTTCGGTACTTTTACTTAAGTAAAAATCTGTCTTTACAACTTTTACTTGTAATGGAGTAATATTTGACCAGCAGTATCTGTACTTTCACTCAAGTAATGGAATTGAGTACTTTGTCCGCCTCTGAAAAATAGTAAAAATTAAACTGTGATATTAGTCTAACAAGCTCTAATCAGAGTATAATTTTCTTTAGAATTTATTGTTAATTTTTGTATTAAATATTGCCAACTTCACTTTTATATAAATTATGTTCTATGACAAAAAAGAAAAGAAAAAAAATAAGAGAATAATTTATCATCTTTACAAACCTTAAGAAAAATGTCAAGAAATATTATTAAAGTCATAATAAGGAATAAACTATTTTGCATAAAAATATGAATTCAAAACAAATCTCATATTTATTACTGTATGAATAAATATGAAAATAAAATATTTATAATTATTTAAAATATACAATTATGAAATATTAAAAATTTAATTAGTTATATATACATTATTATTTATTTAATTATTATGTATTTATATAACTTCCCCTAAATTATATATAAATGATAAATCAATATAAATGATTTTACAACTACTTTATAATTGTGTGTTTGTGTGTGTATACATTTTCATGAAATAATTACATATTTTTAATTATAATTTTTACTTCTTTATAATTGTGTGAACATTTTCATGAAATTATTACATATTTCTAATTATAATTTTTTTTACTATATAATTGTGTGTGTGTTATACATTTTATGAAATAATGACATATTTCAAATTATAATTATTTCTAATTATAAACTATTAAAATCATAATAATTCTAACAATTATTTAATTATTTTTCATTTATATTATATCATATTGATTTATATAATATTTAAATAATATTACATGTAGTAAGTAACAATTGTAGATATACATTTTGGTAGTATTAGTAAAATAAAATATTTTTCTAGATAAATAGGAAACAAATGAAATAATGATTTAATTATGAAATAGTAAATAATTAAAATATTTATATAATTAAATATACAATTAATT